TTTTCTAGAGTTTCAACATCTTTTTTTATAGTCTGCATACAAAACAATTGCAAGAGAGCCAAAAATAAAATGATTTTGGCTTGAAATCAGGTAACCTCAGACCACAAGAACATCCTAATAATAGTTCAGGTCACTGATTAACCAGATAAGGCAGGTTTATCTCTCTTTAATGTGCCATAAAAGTCTTCAGTGGTTGTGACATCTGGAGTCTGGCTGGAAGTGTACACAGACCCAGCCTATCTGAAAACCTTTGGCCTATTTTTCGTAGCAACCCAGACATGCAAACTGGTGGAGAGGGTTATGTTTCAATGGGGTTGATCCCCTCTTCTTGTAGCAGCCCCTTAGATATTAGAACACTGCTATCATGTCACCCCTAGTCCTTCTTTTAATTAAGCTAGAATAATAGAGTTGGAAGGGACCTTGGAGGTCTTCTAGTCCAACCCCATGCTTAGGCAGGAAACTCTACACCACTTCAGATAAATGGTTATCCAGCATCTTAAAAACTTCCAGTGTTGGAGCATTCACAACTTCTGGAGGCAAATTGTTCTACTGTTTTAATTGTTCTAACTTTCTCCTTGGTTCTAAGTTGCTTCTCTCCTTGATTCGTTTCCAGCCATTACTTTGTGTCCTGCCCTTAAGTGCTTTGGAGAATATCTTGTGTAGGAAGTTAAAACCCCACCCCTCTGCTAGAAAACTGAAATATCCTGGGAAATATTAAGAAGGCAGAATAGTCTATTTCCCTGTATGTGAAAAGGGAGAAACATGTTTTTTAAAGACAAAGTAGCTCCCTGCAGCTCCCTGCCCCCTCCACCCTTTGTCAATGAGCCATTAAAGCCTGAGCTAGTCTACTCTACATAACAAAGGTAAGATTAGCCTTCCACAGAAACTCACCACATGGCACCTGGGAAAATTACATCAGCCATCAAGACAACCAAACTTGGGCTCAAAGCACAGCCTACAGAGTTGCCCCTGCATGGCCCTATGGGAGCCTGACAACCCATCAGAATACAAGATCGAGATCAAAGGTCAGAGAGGGCATAAAACCAGGAACTTTCAGCATCTCCCTCTCTTTTTCTTCTTCACCCAACATCTGGAAGCCTCTGATCCCTCTTTTCTGTTCAGGAGCTCAAGCCATGTGATCCTGTCCACCATTAAAACCATCTTTCCAAGCAGCCTCCGTGTTTCCAGTGACTTTTCCCCCACTTGGAACTGAACCAAGAAGGACTTTTCTTCCAACACTTGACTCCCTCTTCTTTGTGGCAACCCCTGAGATATTGAAACACTGCTATTATGTCTCCCCTAGTCCTTCTTTTCACTAAACTAGACATACCCAGTTCCTGCAACTGTTCTTCATATGAAGAAAGGCTGTTTGGAAAGGTTTTAAAAAGGCACAGGAGAGAGAACTTGCCTGATTTAAGGGAAAGCAGCAAAAACAGCCAAATGCATGTTTTTCAAGGTTGAATTAAAACTTAAAACATGTTATTATTTATTTATCGTGACATTGTACCATAGAATGTAGGTCAGAGGTGGGTTCCTGCCAGTTCTAACTTCTTCTATAGAAGA